AATGATGGATTCGATAGGATACGATAAAACCATCGAAGGTTTTAAACTGAACAATCCGTTCGGTGAAAAATATAAATTTTACATGCTTTTGGAAACGAGGAGCAGCATGGATGGTAACGATTTGGAAAAAGTTAACGGTTTTTTGGAAAAAATGATGGAAAAAGGTTTGGCATTGGATGGTTTGGTAACCGACGAACCAGCTAAAATCAAAGTAATTAAATATTTTTTCCTTTCGAACGACATTTGTTCAGAATCCTACATTTAAAAATTATTAATTTTTTTTTTTTTTTTTAGCAAATATGGGAAATAAGAGAAAAAATATCAATAGCGGTTTTTAAAAATGGCTACGCATACAAATACGACATATCATTACCCCATGAAAATTTTTATAAATTGGTTGAAATAATGAAAGAAAAATTAAAAGGAACGTCAGCAACTTTGGTCACGGGTTACGGACATTTGGGTATGTCGTAACGTTTAAATTTCGTACCTGAAAATTTCACAACTGCCCTCAGCGAAGGAGTGATATCCCCATAAAAGTGCTTTTCACGTTTTAACCGATTCTCTCACGACAGATATCTCGAATTTTTTTTTTTTTTTTTTCAGGTGATGGAAATTTACATTTAAACATTTGTTCAGAATCCTACGATAAAGAGTTAAAAGATCAAATAGAACCTTTCGTTTTCGAATTGACACAAAAATTTAAAGGTAGCATAAGTGCCGAACATGGTATCGGTTTAGAAAAACCTGAATTTTTACACTTATCGAAATCAAAATCATCCATCAATTTAATGAAAAACATAAAAAATTTATTAGATCCGAATGGTATACTCAACCCATACAAAGTTTTACCGCCATCTTGTTAATGCAATATTTATAATAATTAAATTCGTTAATTTTTTTTATTTATTTAATGCGTCGCGGGAAATTAAAATTTAAAAAAATGTAATTTGTAGTACGCACGCATATTATTATTATTATTATTATTATTATTTGTTATTTTAATAAAAAAAAAAAAATTATTTGATGAATTATGATAACCTTTGTAAATAAAAAATATTTTCCCAGATGTATACATAAGAGCAAAGTGCAAATTCATCATCATCATCATCATCATCATGTAATTATTATTCAAAATAATAATAATAATAATAACCTTAGTTATTTATTTAAGGTAATAATTATTTATAAACTATTGTTCTAGAACAAAATTCTACCCGTTTGTTTTTAACGATACAATAAACGTAAATAATTTTTTCATTTATACAAATTTTTACTTATTTACACAAAAAAAAACGTTAGTAAACCTGTACCTGAGTAGTTAAGGCACCTGTTTTTTTTTTTTTTTAAATACGGGGAACTTAAATGGATGAACGTGACGGTTGGCTGAACATGATAAATATGTTAAAAAGTTTTTTTTTTTTTTTTCTGGTTTACTGGGGACGTAAAAATAAAAGAAAAAAATTTTTTCTCTCTCTCTCTCCACTTCTCCCCTTTTTTCATACGAATTGAAAAGAATTTTTTTTTTTCATCCTTAAAAAAAATTCTTTACAGGTGAATGACTGATTGACTGACTGACTGACACGATATTAATAATAATAAGAAAAAAAAAATGAATGAATTTAAATAATTTTTATAATAATAATAATACTCTCGTAATTTTTTAACTAATTAATATTTAATATTATTATTATTATTATTATTACGAGACAAACAAACGATTGAATAAGCAAACGAACGAACAAACAAACAAAAAAAAAAAAATCTCACGCTATGAAAACGAAACGAAACGAAAAAGTTTGAATGGAATTTTTTTTTCAACTCCCCAAAAGCTTAAAAAAAAAAAAGCCATAAAGTTATACGTCATCAAGTAACAAAAGAATAAAAGAAAAAAGAACAAGTGAAACAGGTAGAAAGAATCAGGTAGAGGGAGCCAGGTATGTATGTTTGTTCTCTTAGTGTTAAGCAGACATTTTCAAAGGTACAACAATACACGTCATTATACGTAAAAAACTATTTAAAAAAAAAATTCAAGTAATGGCGTACTCTAGTTCCGGTTAGTGAAATATGTAAAACGTTTTTATTAGAAATTTATTTCAAGTGATCGAATATTAATAATAATAATAGAGAAATAAAACAAAAACATCGTGTCGTGTTTGTTTCGTCCGATTGTTTTCCCGTGGCAAGTTATTGAAAATATTTATGTGGAACAAACATTTTTATGTTTTTGCGTCACGAAACCAAGGTAACAACAATTTCACATTTCTCGACATTTTGTATTACACCCCGCAAAAGGAGAAAAATGAAAAAGAAAACGTTGAAACGTGATTATAAATAAATTAATAATAATTAATTTCGTTTTGTTTGTTTGTGTTCGTTTTTTGTGAAGAGACTCGAACTTCAATACATAAAAATATTTTTTTTCACGAGTTAACGGTTTTAAATTTTTTTATATAATATTTTTTTTTTTTAAAATCGACTGCGTGTGTGCGGAGGGAAATCAAAAAAAAAAAAAAAAAAAACTTTCACAAATTTTTTTAATCCACAAAAAAAGAAAAGAAATAATACGAATATATACGTTTGTCGTTATAGTAACAATCGTTTTTGGAATGTAAACAAAAGACAAATTGAAAAAAAAAAAAAAAAAAATGTTTGTTTTATTTTATTTTTTGTCATTATTTTTCCGTTGCGCGGTTACCGATTTAAACGTGGCAGAATATAAAGATTGCGGACAATTACGATGTGGATTTT